TGTTTGTACTGTCCAGGGACCAGTGCGTAAATAATTGTTGTTAAGTGCCGTTGAGTTGGTTCCAACCCATAGCAACCCTGTAAAGGGTTTCCTAGGAGCGACTCATGAGCTTGAACCACTGACCTTGCGGCTCAAACCGACTTTGCAGTCCAATGCATTAACCCACAGTAATACCTACTTTTGATCCTGGGCAGTCTGTGCTGAGAGAGCGCATTAAGATGGTCAATCCAGTCTTCTCAGTTTTAAACCTACAGAGTTTAAACCTGGAGTTCAGTGAAGGAATGTACAGGTGAGGTTTTAGGAGAAAGCTGTGTGGTAAAGGCTCTGGGACCTCCATCCTTGCTTCAAGCAGGCAGGATTGGAACTTGAGATCTCAGACTTAGTAGCCTGTCTTACTCTGAACTATTGCACCAGACTGTCAGGCTGCCATTCTGTGAGGCTGGGAGGGCAACCCCCATTTCTGCCTGACTCAGTCCATTTCTCTGCCTGGACTTGGTATTTGCCACACAATCCTGGGCATCTGGCACATACTTTTTAGGTATGCCCCCAAAAGGCTGGAAGAAGTTGAGGACTGATTGAGGCCTATGTAATGGAGCAGTTGGGAGAAACAGGGGTGGAGGAATTCCATATTGATTCACACTTCCCCTTGGAGAACTTCTGGATAACCTTGGAGGCATCGCAACCTTCAGGTTCCTTTTCTGCAAAATGGTTCCAACATCCCATATGGAAATGCTTTTCAAACTATTATCGAGCTATATGCTTGGAAGGGTGTATGGGTCAGTCAGAAGGTGGGTACTGAGTTGGGTACTGAAATCAAGGCTACAACTTTGAACCTGAATTGGAGCAAGGCAAGGTAAACATGAAAACAGATGCAATGTCTAGCCTGGCTTCTCTTCTTGTTGTTGTTGTTGTTGTCAGGTGCCATCGAGTCGGAACCGACTCATAGCGACTCCATGCACAGCAGAACGAAACAATGTTCGATCCTGGGCCAACCTCACTACCGCTGCCACCCCCGAGTCCATCAATGATGCCACCTGGCCGATCCATCTTGTTGGAGGTCTTCCTCTTTTTCTCTGACCCTCCACCCTACCCAGCATGACATCCTTCTCCAACGATTGTTTCCTCCGGACTACATGTCCAAAGTAGGAGAGACGAAGCTTAGCCATCCTGGCCTCCAAGGAGCATTCTGGCTGCACTTCTTCCAAAACAGATCTATTGGTTCTTTTGGCAGTCCATGGCACCCTCAGTATTCTCCTCCAACACCACAACTCAAAGGCATCAATTCTTCTACGATCCTCTTTATTCACTGTCCAGCTTTCGCATCCATATGAGGCTATTGAAAACACAATGGCCTGGGTCAGGCGCACCCTAGTCCTCAAGCTGACATCTCTGCTCTTCAATACTTTAAAAAGTTCCTGTGCAGCAGATTTGCCCAGTGCAATACGTCGTCTGATCTCTTGACTGCTACTTCCGCGAGTGTTGATAGTTGATCCAAGAAGAATGAAGTCCTTGACAACTTCAATCCTTTCTCCATTGATAAGAATGTTGTTTATTGGTCCAGTGGTGAGGATTTTTGTTTTCTTGACATTGAGATGCAATCCATATCGAAGGCTGTGCTCTTTAATCTTCATAAGTAAATGTTTCAAGTCCTCTTCACTTTCAGCAAGCAAGGTTGTATCATCTGCATATCGCAGGTTGTTAATGAGTCTTCCTCCAATCCTGATGCCACGTTTTTCTTCATAGAACCCACGTATTTTGTGTGCAGGGATTTCTCAATCCACTTTGTGCCTTTCTGTTTATTTCTGTGCATTGGGGATGCTGTAGCTATGCAACATATAAATTACTCAGTGTCTCTCAGCAGCCGGGAGGAAGCAGGTGAGTGGGAGATGAGAGGGGTGGTCCCAGCCTTCCGTGCTGTCATCACTTCCGGGAATTCCCGACAGGGACTCAGCCTCACAGTTGAGCAGAAAGTTCTTTATCCTGGCTCTGTCAGTAACCTGTGACCTTGGGCAAGCCATTTATCCTCTTTCTGTTATATCAGTTAAACAGGGATGGGATGGCTCTTCTTTCTACCTCAAAAAGTATTTATTTTGAGAAGCAAGGTCAGGAATGGATGTGAAAATGCTTATGGGAAAACAAAACAAAGCAAACAGAAAGCAGGATACAAATGGAGAGCTCTTGTTACTGTAACTTTATCATCCTGCTTCTTGAGCTTTTGTTTTCTCCCCAGCACTTGGCCCTGGCGTTAACCTCAAAGCAGACACTTGGTAAAACCTTAATGAATAGAGACAGGCGGCTTGCAGAGTGGCGCAAGGGAGTCTGGAGACATGCTGCTACTGTCATTGACAAGCTGTGGGATTTGGGGTGAACCCGTGACTGGCTCCCGGCTTCAGGTTCCCTGTCTGAAACAGAGGGGATTGACTGCTCAGAAGTGTGAACAAATGAAGTGCTCCTGTTGTTGCTCATTTACTTAGTGATTTCTCACATGTTTACTGAACAGCCACTTGGAGGCTGGCACTGGGAACTGGAATTTGTTTTTTTTTTTTCTTATAACAGCCCCACAGGTATCTAGCTGTATACCCCATTTTACAGCTGAGATTCTGTGAGTTCAGAGAGGAAATATGGTCTGCTCAAAGTCACACAGCTAGTAATTGAGCTAGGATTCAAACCCAATCCAAATATGCTCATTCTATCTGCCATACTATTAAGGAGCTCTGGTAGTGCAGTGGTTACAAATCGGGCTGCGAACCTCAGGGTCAGCAGTTCGAAACTACCACCTGTTCGGTGGGAGAAGAGGAGGATTTCTGCTCCCGTAAAGATTTGTTGTTGTTGTCGTTGTCAGGTGCCATCGAGTCGGGACTGACTCATAGTGACCCCATGCACAGCAGAACGAAACAATGTCCGATCCTGGGCCCTGTACAGGGTCGCTATGAGTCGGAACCGATTCCACAGCACACAACAACAACAATCTGCCATATTGCCCGAGTCTCCTGTGCCTCAGTCCCCTTCCTCTCTGCCCTCCCCAACACCAGGAGTCTAGACTCTGGAGGCTAGACAAAAACAAATTAGGGAGAGGACTGTACCTGATGGGCTCTACCTGATGTTAGTTATGCCACTAAAAAAGCACTTCTTTCTCCTTCTAACGCCAGCCTTTACCTACCCATTCAGAGTTCTGGATCTAAGAGGATCCTCATTTACTGTAGGTGGTCATTGACTTTTGATGGGACCCCTGACAGGGCAGCAAAGTGAGCTAGGTGAGAGCTCACCTGAGATACCCGGATGTGTTTCCTAGCCCCACCTCCAGGGGCGGCATGACTTTGAGGGATGGTAACCCTTTCTGTGATCAGGCGGGCTCCTCAGCGTGCTGGTCCTCTCCAGGAGAGCAGGTGTACTTAGCTCTGGGCAAAGTAAGGAGCCCTCTACATACACCTTGCTCCCTTGGAGTTACCATCTGCCAAGCAGATGTGCCTCTCTGGCCTCTGGGGCTAGCTTAGTCTCTCCCCTGGCACCCAGGAGCCCTCTCTTAGGCTCAGAGGCTCCAGTATCTAACCAGGACAGTGGCTGTTGCTGGAAGGGAGGTCCCCGAGGGGAGAGGGAAGCAGGCCCAGGACGTCTCCACCCGGAGCTGGGAGCACGCGGATCCGGGTATCCCGGGATAGCCCGGCGTAATGAGGCGCACCCTCTCCTCCGGGAGGCGGGGCTGCCCCTTCCTTCCCGAACCCTCCTCCTTAAGTTTCCGTGGGTGGGTGTCCTGCGCCGCCCAGGGAGCGGGATCCAGAGAAGGGGCTGGAGGACTTGAGGGGAGGAAGGAGAAGGGAGTGAAGCCCCAGTGGCCAGGCCCTGAGGGTCTATAGTGGGGGAGCAAATGTGGTGGGAAGAGGAGATCCCTGGTTTGCTGCAGGTGGGGGAGGCAATGACTGCGGGTTACTCTGGTGCCCTCCGACCTCTTGTCGGATATCTGTCCTTCCTGGCGAGTCCATCGCCCGTCGGTGGTCCCCTCCCGCAGCCTACCCCTGCCTCTTCTCAGCTGGGCCCAGCTACCCTCCCCAGCTACCCTAGGGCTAGAGAGCCGGTAGCAGGTCCCAAGCCAAGCGGAGTAAACACCCCGCAGAGGGGCGGGGCGCACGGGTCCTCGGCGCGGGCGGGCCTGGGGGCGGGGGCGGGGGCAGGAAGCAGCCGGGCCGGGCGGCTGGCGCGGCCGTGACGTCGCTCAGCTTCCAGGGATCGCTCCCCAGGGCCGATCCCTCCTCCAGCCCCTCCCGCCCCCTCCACTCCCGGCCGGCATTCAGGCTAGCTGCGCTCTCCAGCCAGCGCTTCGGTCCCTGCTTCCTTCTCCTGTCTTCCAGCCCTCTACAACCCTCCTTCTCTCCCCGCTTGGTCCATTCCTCCTCCCATTTTCCAGATCCCTTTTCTTCTTTCTTCCTTTCCCTCTTTGCCCTCCTGCTCCTCAGTCTCTCTCAGTCATCCCCTGCCTCCCTTTCGCTGTCTGTTTTTCCCCCCTGCTCCTCTCGGGTCCTCTCCCTCCCGCCCTCGGTCCCCAGCTCCCGCCCGCCCCCTCCGTGTTCTCCTCCCGCTCCGCCTCTCGCTGCCGCCCGAGCGCTACTCCCCAGTAACTCCCCGAGCCCGCGCCTCAGGAGCATCCAGCCGCCCCCGACACTCCTCTGTGCACCCTCGGCTTGGCTCGCGGGGACCCTCCTGCCGCTCGCGGCCCCGCCTGTATCCCGCCCCGTGCGCTGAGGATGTGAGTTCTCCCTCGGTCGGCCACAGCCACTCGCTCGCCCAGCCCGAGCGCAGCTCAGCTGCGGGCGCTCACCAGGTCCTTCGGCGGCAGCGCGCTCTCTCCCTAGCTGTGCCCCTCGGCCGGTGGCCGGTGCCACAGCCGCTGCAGCCCGTGGGCCGTTCCCGGCCGGCTGCTCCCGGCCCCAGCGCCGCTGACCCTGTCCGCCGCGGGCGGGGACGCGGGCGGAGGAGGCGCCGCCGCGGAGCCCCCGGACGCGACCATGTCGGAGGTGCTGCCCTACGGCGATGAGAAACTGAGCCCCTACGGCGACGGAGGCGACGTGGGCCAGATATTCTCGTGCCGCCTACAGGACACCAACAACTTCTTCGGTGCCGGGCAGAACAAGCGGCCGCCCAAACTGGGCCAAATTGGCCGGAGCAAGCGGGGTAAGTTGGTGGCCCTTCCCCAACACCCTCTTTCTCCTGGGTGCTGAGGCCTTGCCAAGGCTGATGGGAATCTCCTGTCCCCGAATCCGGTTCGGATCCGATGGAATCCCGTCCCGCTGAATCGGGGGATCCCGCACTGCGGTTCCAGCTCCGGGGAGCTGCGGGAACCCCTCCCCCAGCCCGCTGGGTGCAAGAGTCCCGGGTGGGGTCACCACGGGGGCGTGGCGATTTCTAGCTGCAGCGGAGACTGGAGGGTTATACCCGGGTCACCAACCGTGCCAAAGTTTGCTTTTTGATGTCGGCCCCCCTCCCCCTTTTGCGCAGTGTAGTCGCAGTTGCCCTCGCGCTGCAACTCTGGGGGCTCCCAGGGCTCCCCAAGAGACAGTGGGGAGCCGCACCCCGTTCCAGTGGGGAAGGCGAGGGGGCACTTGGCTCGCGGCGAGCTCTTCATTGTGACTTGGCAGAGAGAAGGGGTGACCAGGCCTGGGCGCTCAGAGTGCGAACTGGAAAAACCCTGGAAATGAGACTATGAGAGGCTCTGAGGAGAGAGAGCATCAGAGAGGCTGGGGACAATGAGGGATTCCGACAGCGCCCGCAGAGACCGAGACACAGAGATGGAGGGACGTGGGGGGTGGGGTGCGGGAGAAGAGACTGGCGGAGAGACGAGACAAAGCTCCTGCGGGAGCCAGAGAGAGACTGCGAGTAAGTGAGTCTGAGAAGACCGAAAGGCAGTTGAGACAATGAGGGCGCGAGACACTCCTATAGTAGAAGACCCAGAGACTTCGACCAGCAACCGCCTCTCAACGAGACCTAGAAAGGCCAGGCCAGGTAGAGTGGATGAGAGAAACGGGCAGCCGGCCAGGGGAGGCTCTGACCTATGTAGCGGCCTGGAGACCCAAGAGGCTCAGTCCCAAGCTGACTGCGCCGGGAGGACAAGCAGAAGCCGGGCGCCCACCCTACCGGGCCTGAACCCTGGACAGGCTGTGCGTGGGAACCAGTCTAGGCATGTCCTCCTGATTCCTGCTTCCTGGCTCCTCTATAGCCAGCCTAGGCCACCGGTGCCGCCCTCAGGGCATCCTTGTGCGTCCTAACTCAGGAGATTTCCTACCCCTTCTTGCCGTGGAGGCTTCTTGCCAAATAAATGTGCCTGTGGGGACAAATGCTCTGAGAACGCGCCCTGGCTGCAGCCTGGCTGCAGGTTGAGCCCTCCCTGCTTCCTCTTTTTAGCCTTGAGCTGGGATGCCTGCTGGGGGCGAGGGTTGGTTCAGAGGAAGGCAGCTAAGAGTCTCCAAGCCAAGAGTCTCCAAGTCATCCACGCTGGGGAGGATGGGGCTGTTTGAGCACTTGGGGAATCCTCCCCCCCCCACCGCCCCCCACCACTGGGCATAACTGGAAGCGGGGTGAGAGGGACCCCTGGCGAGGCCCAAACTTGCTCACCTCTTTTTCCTCCCTTTTTATTTACAGTTGTTATTGAAGATGATAGGATTGATGACGTGCTGAAAAATATGACAGACAAGGCACCTCCTGGTGTCTAACGACCCCCAAAGACAATGAGTTAAGGGAGAGAATAAGAGTAAGAGCAAGAACGGCGAAAGCAGTTATTGACAAAAAGAGAGCATGAAAAGAAAAAGCACTTGGAAATTTATGACTAGCTTGCTACCTACATGAAATCAACAACCTGTATCTCCTGTCAGGCCGGGAGTCAGATGAGGCTGAGGAGGAGGAGGAGAAGGTTCTGGGCTCTTCAGCAAAAATAAAAATAAAGAAATTAAAAAAATTAAAATAAAAAAATCACAATATACACACACATATAAAGAAATAAAAACAGAAGTCTTTGTTGCAGCTATTTGTTGAGATTAATATCTATTTCTTTTTATAAACCATGAATATTGCGCAATGATAGATCTGGATCTTGAACCACTTAAATAATGAAGCCACCACGTGGGGGTTTTGAGGTATTGGCATTCTTTGCTGATTTGGCTGTTCCCAGTGTTTACATTATTTAATCTTGCAAAAATGATTTTGTGCACTTGGATGTAACATGCTGTCCAGTTTTATTTTTTATATTATTATCCTTGGATGTACAAAAAAATCAGAAAATGATTTCTAGATATTACTTTGGTCATCTTTTGAGGTTATCAGGAATGTGTTTAAAACCAGACTGGGAAACTGTTTTAATTTTAAAATGAATTGTAAAGCTTGTGTTTCTTTGTTGCTGCAAACTATTTGCCCAAGTTAATGTAAATGGACACATTTTATATGTTAAAAAAAAAACAAAACACAAGAAAAAATGCTTGAGCTTTTTCTAAACTCCCCCACCCCTGCAGTCTGTTGTGTGAGCAGCCTGGGTTTTCTCTAATATTGTGTCAGTTTATTCTCTTAATGGACTGTAAAAAAAAAAAAAATGTAATCACAAGAGTGCCAAATATCTTGAAATGCCAAAAGGCATTTTGGTTTCTTTTCCCTGTGCTCTGAGTCCGTGTATAGGAATGCTTGGGGTGTCTTTTCTGTTATTTATAGGGATTCTCCTAAGGCAGGCCAGCTGCCTGTTTTGCATGGTATTTGCAAAAATGCCTCTTTTGTGAGGAAATCTTTTACCTTTTTTTTTAGTTTGTTTGCAACTTTGGGCCTCAAGAGGTTTCCTTTCCCTTCTGATCCTTGTTCCCTCTTTTCTTAATTCAATATTCTGTATGTTGCACCTTTAACCAGCACATAGGGCTATTTCTCCAATGTACAATAAAAGAACTCTTCCTGTGTCCCATCCCTCTCCTTATTTTGGTTCCAGGGACTTGCTGTTTGCTGACTGTAGATAGGAGCGAGGGAATGGGTGGCTTTGGTATGTGGGGCAAAAATGGTGGGTGGAGGGCAGTGTGGGCTGTGCTCAGAAGATGGGACCGGTTGAGTTGTTAGGGTTACCCCTGAAGGGTCATTTCATGTCAGTTTGCTCTGGAACTCCCCTCTGCTCTGATTTTTGCTCTTTAATGGGTAGGGGGGTAGGGATGATGATGTCTTGGGAGGTGGTAGCCAGCCTTGTTCAGAGCAGTGTTTGGAGTCTGGCAGGCTTAGATTAAAATTTCCACACCTTCATGTCCTGGCTCTGTTGTTAAAGTGCCCTGGAGTTGGTTCCGACTCATAGTGATCCTGTATAGGGTTTCCAAGACTGGAAATCTCCGTGATTGTAGAAAGCCTCATCTTTCTCCTAGCTCTGTGACCTTGGGCAAGTCCCTTAATTTCTTAGTTTCAGTTTCTAAATTTGTGAGGTGGAGACAGTACAACTCCACTTTATCCTGTAAGGTTTATCCAACCTTATCTCGTAAGGTTGTTAGGAAGGTAACATAATACCCACACCAAGTGGGACTCAGTTTCAGGCCACTATTTGCCTATAAAGGAGCCCGTTAAGTGCTTGACTCCTAGCCAAAAGGTTGGTGGTTTGAACCCAATCAGAGGGGCCTCAGAAGACAGGCCTGGAAATCTGCTTCTGAAAGGTAGCTTTGAAACCCCTATTCTGCACCCATGGGATTGTTAACAAGTTGGAATTAATTTGACAGCAACTGACATTTGCCGGTGTAAGCTTTCATGAAGAGCCACCTGGAGTCCTGGTATGGTGCTGTAAGATAAAGCACTGGACCACTAAGTCGGTTTGTACTGCAAGGCTGGTGGTTCAAACCCACCATCTGCTCCTTGAAAACCATATACAGGATTGCTATGAGTCGGAACTAACTCAGCTGCACTTAACAACAAAAACCACCTGTCCTCAAAGGCATGGCTGAGAGTGACCATGCTGTTTCCTAGCACCTTCACCTTGCAGGACTCCTGTTGTTATGTGCCGAGTTGGTTCGGACCCTATATAGGGCTTCCAAGGTGTGGCTGGTGGATTTGAACTGCTGACTCTGTGATTAGCAGTCCAGTACTTATCCTATAGTGCCACACCAGGGCTCCTGGTTATGTGCTGTGGAGTCAGTTCTGACTCATAGTGACCCTGTATAGGGTTTCCAAGGCTGTAAATCTTTACGGCTGTAAATCAGCGGTTCCTGTGCAACCGCTGGTAGTTTCGAACTGCTGACCTAGAGGTTTGCAGCCCGATTTGTAACCACTATGCTACCAGAGCTCCTAGGCCTCTGGCATTTCAGGGAACTGTTTGTGGGTGGCTCATATCCCAAGAGGTCACAGTCTCCATCCCTCCCCCTTCTTCCTCCTCTCTCCCCTTGGAAAGCCACCAATGAAAAACTCAACATCCCCACCCCGTTAGGTTTGGGGCAGTTAGTGGTGGTGGGCCAGACCACTGGAGGAGGAGTGCTAACAGGAGAATATTGTCTGAAGACAGACTGGGAGAGGCTTTTCTCCTGGGCTGTACCATACCCAGGAGCCCCAGCCAGGAGCTTTTAATGTGCTTGTTGTAAAACTGTCAGCCGGGAGTCACAACACAGCTCGAAGTGACAGGAGCCGGAGTATGACTCAGACATCAGGTAAGACAGGCCCCAAGAGTGAGGCAGGAGAGGGGCTCCAGGGGGTCTATGGGGGAAGGGAGTGATGTCTCTTCTTCCTTCCCTGGCAGTCAAGGCCTGGGAAGCTGCAGAGGAGGTCCCAACAGAGAACTTGTCATCCTATCAGCCATTATTAGGAATGGCAAGCAAGGCTGGCCATGCCAGCTGGATGATTGGGGATGCCAGCTTGCTGTTCCTAGGCGCATGACCCTCTTTCCTAACCTGGTTCTCCTCCCTGCAGATCCCAGGGAATCCCAGCACTTTGGAGCATGGGGACCTTAGGCACATGGAGTCCGTCTCTCCACTGTTTTTCTCTTGAGGAGGTTGAGGCCCCAGGAAGAATGTTGTGCAGAGAGTTAAAGGCAGGGCCCACCTCCTATGTTCAACATCAACCTGCCAAGAGAGGAGGGAGCCAGGTGAAGAGATTCTCTCAGAAGGCTAGGCTGTTGTCTGCATCCAGAGGAATTAGCACCCAGGGGAATTACTGCATAAACCATCAAAGCACCAGACGGCTGCACGCTGCTTTCCCTTCCATTCACTCACACCAGCAACCTGGAAACCCACAACAATGAATTCTCTTTAGGAGATGAGCAAATTGGGGCCCTGGAGGGACTAGAAGGACCAGGACACATCCACATTAATTAAGCAAGCTCTTACTGTATGCTACAGACACTCATTCAGTCCTTACAACAACCCTGAAAGACGTTGTCAGTTGCCATTGAGTTGGTGCTAACTCATGGTGTTCCTGTGTACAATATATTGAAACCTTGTCCAGTCCTGTGCCCTCTTCATTGGTGGCGTGTTTGAGTGCACTATTGCAGCTATTGTGTGGTGCCTTCCAACCTAGAGGTTCAGTTGCCAACACTATACTGTGCAATAGTCTGTCCCTATAAGTTTTATTTATTTTTTGCCAGTTGCTGTCAAGTCAATTCTGACTCATGTATACAAGTGACCCCTTGTATTTCAGAATAGAACTGTACTCTATAGGGTTTTAATGGTTGTGATCTTTTGGAAGCATATGTCTAAGTTTTTCTACGGAGGCACCCCTGGATGGGTTCAGACTACCAACCTTTAATTAGTAACCAAGTGCTTAACCATTTGTGTTACTGAACTTTCAAAACCACTGGACTGCTATACAGGGTTGCTATGAGTTGGAACCGACTTGATGGCACTTAACAGCAATGTTCTTTTATTGATGTACAGAAGGAAACAGGGCCCAGAGGGATTAAATAACTTTGTAGACAGTCATTCAACTAGTAAGTGGCTGGGGCAGAACTTGACCCACAAGCCCTCCCTCCCGGATGAAGATGCAGGATCACCTGACCCAGACCCCAGCTCAGTTCCTGCTGCAGCAGCCAATGTCCTTCTGCCCTAAAGATCCTTTGTTACTTTCTTGTTTTGTGGCTGTGCCTGTCTCCTGCTATTCTGCACAACAGACTACTGAGCCAAAGGTCTGGCTGGAGGCAGGGCTTGAATGTGGTCAGCGGAGGGCTGGAGCTGCCCTCTGCTGGAAGTGGGGAGTGTGGGAGTTCTGGGCCAAGCCTCCAGGTCCACTTTAATAAGTGATATATTAAACCGTCCCTGCTGGAGGCCACCCTGTCAGGGAATGTGGGGTCCTTTGCTTGAGAAAATGAACTGTGCCTTTCCCAAGAACTCCATTCAGCAAAAGGAAATATAAATCGTTTAAATATACTTGAACATTTGTTGAGAAGGCACTTTGGGGACTGGGCAGATATCAAATTATACCAAGTGCAGGCTCTGTCTGAAGTATCTGGTTAAGGTAGCAATAAATATGGAAAAGGCTATTAAAAGTCCAAGGTGGGGGGAGGGTATTGCTAAGCCTCTGAGCCTTGATAGAAGCCTACAAGGCTGCATTATTCAAACTGAACTAATTGAATGCTTGTAATCAGCATACATCTCTCTGGATTCTGCTTCCCTGGCCTGTCCAGGCTGACAGCTTGAGGGAATATCAAAAAGCACCTCCAAGGGTGAAATTGACAAATTAAGTTTTAAAAGAAAGAGACTGGAAAAAGATTGCAGTCTGGAAACCA